CAATAGTGTGTGTTAAATATATTTTATGTTTATATATATATATATATATATATATATATATATATATATATATATATATTAATATTACCAGGGATTAAAACCATAAACATTTTATTTTAGCCATGGCAACATTTTACATTTCAATTTATTTTAATTTAATGTACTAAAATATATAGATAATAAAAAAATTATATAGAATAAAAACTATATATAAACAAAAACTACTAAAAATGGCATAATACAACTAAGTTGATAAAACTTTAATGGAAATGAAAATTAAAATGGAAAATAAAAAAATATAAACTGATATAAAAATATAAACTATAATAGTATCTCAATGATACTAAAATAACACTACAGTTGTTTTAATTGATGCTTAAAAATTATATTTTCTGAAAACACCTTTTAATATCATATGCAGTTTTTCTTCCCAAGTAAGTGTGTTCAGTATATTTCTACATTTTAACTGTAAAACACCAAAAATACTGATTTAAAGTTTTTTTTTTTTTTTGCAGTGTTTAAATGTAGTTATTGTAATTTATTAAAGCGTATTTGCCAGTGGGTATGATGGATACACTTCACACTTTGCATGATGGTAATAGATGCTAATGGGATGAGGGTTAACATCTGAAATTAAATGACATTTTTTAAATTGATCTTTATTGAAATGAAATTTTGTTTATGTATGGATGGCATCATGTTTGCATGATCTTATTGAATGTTTCTTATTCTACACATCTTGTTAAGTAGAAACTGAAATGTATGTGTCAAAGCTTCAATTAGTATTTACTAAGTGTTTGACAAGTTTTTGGTCTTACATTTTTAGACTTTTGAGAGTCGTTTAAGATGATCATGATATTCACATTCACAAGTTTGCTCATAAGGCAAGTCTGTTGAGGGACTGAACCCTTATAAAATGATGCTAATGTTTAGCACAAGGCTTTTGTGAATGTGGGCGTCTCTGTAGGGATTCGAGTTCAGACGGGTTTTGGTGAGGTTGAAGTGTTTTTCTCTACATAGTACAGCCCAGGGAAGAGTTGAAATGATCAAACTCTGCTTATTTCATTTGACAGTTTAACATTGCTTGAGGGAAACTCATTTTTGCCACCCTTGAGACAGGATAACCATGTGTTTCCTATCAACATGTGTTTGTCATTTTTCCATCATTACGCATGTTTGTCAAGACCAAGGAAGATTCCCTTTTTATATGCTGTCAGCAGGAACAAAAAAGTTCAGTGCATCAGGACTAGGTTTTACATTGTGATAGAGTAGAATTGCAGGCTCTAATGGATGATGCAGTTGAACTTGTTGACCTACTGTTGAAAAACCATTTCCATCCAATTTCCAAATCCGATTTAAAGTGAGAAAAATGTTGGGCCAACCCATTTAAGCCACAAATGGGGGAAAAAAGGGTGCAGTACAGGTTGTTAATCAAGTCATTAAAATCCAGTTAGTAAACACAGAAAACAGATGCAGCCTGATTTTTTAATTGAAAAATAAAGCAAAATCCTTTCAGATACCAATGTGTTGATGTCAGTTATTTTGTTTATTAATTTTGTAATTTATAATTATTTATATAATTCTTATTAATTATTGTAATTTGACATCAATAGCATTTTGCATTATTTATGTCCGTTATTATATTTATTATTAAGTACTGTTTGTATAATTATGATTAGTGCAATTTGACATCAATCGCATTTTGCACTGTTGATGACTTTTATTTTATTAATTAATTTTGTAATGTATTATTTAATTACTGTTTATTTAATTATTATTATTATTGTAATTTAATTGGGCGGCTTTTTTCAAGCTAAAAACAGCCATTGTTTTTCATTACAAATTATTATTTATATAATATATTTTTATTATTGACATTTATTTGGGCTGCTTTTTCAGTCTAATATAAATAAACCTACAGTATATTCTCACTAGTGGCGTACTGCACATCTGTGAGGCCCCCTGCAAAGAACGAGATGGGGCCCCTCCCGCCAGCAGCAACAAATAGCATAAATTGAAAATTCGTTGATATTGCAAAGAGCTGTGCTCAATCTTTAGGCTCTGTTCGGAGAGGTTACTTATTACAGGGACTCTGAAAATAGTTGCCTCCGAAAATAGTTGAACGAAAAAAAAACATTAATTTCAGCTCATTAATTGTATGTTGCTGAGTCACTGTGGCAAAAACATCTCCGCAGGAATTGAGGCAGTGGATCCTCATTGCTGTGTGCTGCAGTGGCTTCTCCTTCCTCCTCCTCCTCCTCCATCTCTGTCATCCCTTTGTTCCCCTTCAACCTACAGTGTTTAGTTCCCTCCCGAATCCCCGAAGCCTTGCCTTCCCTACGGCCCACACTATCCCTCCTCCATCTCTGCCACATCTTTGCTTACCTCATCCCTCTCCCTCCTGTCCTCCTGTTACTCAGTATTTTCCTTCTGATACTCAGTGGATTTTAATTATGCTTATGAATCTGACTCCCCATTCTCAATAATTAACTAAACGATTAACAAACAAAAACATTTTCTGTTTTTATTGTAGTAATATTAAAGTATTTATTTATTACAAATGAGAAATTAATTAATTTTAAAATCTAACACTACTCCTTGCTGCTTTCTTCCCCTGTACCTTCCCAGAATTCATGTGCCTGTACCTGTATGTTTTTTTAAATTACAGTGTAACTTCATTTATTCTTTAAAAAATTACAATTGAGAGATTAATAGAACTTTAAAAAAGTAACATTACTCTTTCCATTCCATCTTTTCCTCTGTCTTCCAGAATTCCTTTTCCCGGATATTTGTTATGCTTCTCTGTTGCTAACCTTCTCCTCTTGCATCCATTCAGTCCTTTTTGTCCTCCTTTCATTCTTTCTCTCCCATAGAGCTCTTAGATGAGCATCAGGTGGTAAAGCTGTTAGCTGGGCTGTCTGCTCACCCAGTTCTTCTCCACCACCCACACCACTGCTCCTACCACCTCCGCCTGCTCCGTGCTGGCCAGAAACCCCCAGAATGCCTCTCTGGTCAGCCCCCTTGTCACTTGCAACAAAGTGTGTGGAGCTTCAGCTTATTCCAAAATGTTGCAGTTATCTGCTCTGCTCTTTTATCGGACTTCTTGCTTTTCTTCACTCTGTGCCCTTTCTTTCCACTGTGTAACATCTCATAACCTCTGTTCCTCTTTTCTTACCGCATGCCTGTACATATGGCTTGGTGAATGTGAAGACCACTTGCTTATGTTAACTTCTGCATAGAGTAAGTATAATGCTTTAATTAAGCCATCTTGCACCTTTTTACATGTTTATTAGAGTATCTTGATTGACCAAAAAAGTCAATTTTACCATTTCCCAAAAAGATGAGGCACAAGAGGCCTGTAGTTACATTTATTTCATTACCGTTATTGAGTGTTCTTAAGCTTTGTGTTCTAATATCCTCTTAACAATGGTAAAATCGATGTATAATGCATGACCTCCAGTGGCATACTGCTTTTATGAAATAGTAGAACCTGCATTATGGTACTGATGTTTAATTAAACATTTATATGGTATTTATACAGTTACAAAAGATTTCGGGTTTTTAAAAAATGCTGTTCTTTTGAACTTTGTATTCTTCAGGGAATACTAAAAAAATATATTGTGGTTCATGTATCATGGTTTCCAAAAATTATATACATATACATGTATGTATACATACATACATATATATATATATATATACAGTGGTGTGAAAAAGTGTTGGCCCCCTTCCTGATTTCTTTTTTTTTTGCTTCAAGCTTTTGCGATAACTTGCAATGAGTCTGTTACAGCGCTGTGGAGGAATTTTGGTCCACTCATCTATGCAGAATTGTTGTAATTCAGCCACATTGGAGGGTTTTCGAGCATGAACCGCCTTTTTAAGGTCATGCCACAGCATCTCAATAGGATTCAGGTCAGGACTTTGACTAGGCCACTCCAAAGTCTTCATTTTGTTTTTCTTCAGCCATTCAGAGGTGGACTTGCTGATGTGTTTTAGATCATTGTCCTGCTGCAGAACCCAAGTTTGCTTCAGCTTGAATTCACGAACAGATGGCCAGACATTCTCCTTCAGGATTTTTTGGTAAACAGCAGAATTCATGGTTCCATTTATCACAGCAAGTCTTCCAGGTCCTGAAGCAGCAAAAGAGCCCCAGACCATCACACTACACCACCATATATTACTGCTGGTATGATGTTCTTTTTCTGAAATGCAGTGTTACTTTTACGCCAGACATAATGGGACACACACCTTCCAAAAAGTTAAACTTTTGTCTCGTCAGTCCACAGAGTAGTTTCCCAAAAGTCTTGGGGATCATCAAGATGGTTTCTGGCAAAACTGAGAGGAGCCTTTATGTTCTTTTTGCTCAGCAGCGGTTTTCGTCTTGGAACTCTGCCATGCAGACCATTTTTGCCCAGTCTCTTTCTTATGGTGGAGTCATGAACACTGACCTTAACTGAGGCATATATATATATATATTTATATAACCTTTGTAAGAATCATGAATGTGCATTAGACATTGTTTATGTGCATAATTCATTCTAGGTTTTGTATTTTAATTAGTTAATCATAGTGTTCTGGTGGGTCTGGATTTTAAAAAAAAAGTTTTTATTGCATGTAGATCTTGCCATATGGTGTGTATAAACTGCATGACTAGATTTGCTATGCAGAACAAAGCAGCCTGGCACACTACTGGTTTCAGTAGAATTAAACTAATAACACCATCCAAACTATGCTGTTATTGCTCTCACACAAAATGATTCATTCATAAATCGGGACTAATTTGTTCACAGATTCAACTCGCTAACTGAATGACCTGCTTGCAAAAGTTCTCAAGTTACCAACTATTACCAACTATTTTAAAGGACAGACTAGAACTACAGTGCACCCAACTTAAGAGATTAAAGAAAAGGTTTTATTTTAACAATATGCAAATCTTTCGTATCATATAAAGTGCTAAATTAAACTACCTCTGAGTAATTATGTTTGTTTTTTTTCCTCATAATTAAACTAGGAAAGTGCACCTTCCATTTACAAATTTTTTCTATCATCATCTAGTTCCATTACTGCTAACCTAAACACATTAGCAAACAAAGTAATTAAATCCATTTCAATATACTAGAGCAGTAGCATTAAAATGTGTTTCTCCAGCATGGCACTTGTTTTTCAAATGACAGTTTCTCTAATCTTTTTATTGGTTAGTTAAACATGTAAAGTTCCTAATCGGTTTATTAGTCTGCAGCAGTCCATCCTAATTCTCTTGGCATTAAACCGATAATGCCTTGCAAACGAGATGCAAAACACTTTGTTAGTGAACTAAAATTCTAGAACTTGTTCGTTTTCGTCTAGTTAATTGTGAAGATGCTAATGTGTCACAAGCCATCATGATACAATGCAATTCCAGTTGCATCATGGTGTATCTTTGAGATTTTGGGCTGCTAAAAACTATTCTGGATACCCAGTGTCTAAATGGTGTTGGGTGGTGTTTGTGTGGCCATACGGTGCTTGTAGGTCCCATGAGGTTGACTTCATACTCTTGTTGTGTTTTTCGTATACAAGAGCGCAAAGTGTTCATAGGAAATCTGTAATGATGAGTTTGTGTTTTGGACCATGTGTTGGTGCAGGGTTTGAAGGTTGCTCCTTGGTGCCCTCCATCTATCCACTGGAGACGCTGCACAACTCACTGTCCCTCAAGCAGGTGGATGAGTTCCTCACGACGTTGTGTAAGAACGGGAGCGAGACACAATTTAAGAGACTCAAATGTAAGTGGACGAATGCTTTCACATTCATTATTACACTTGTCTTGAAATCTAATTTATGAGGACGTTGATCACATTTGCATCAAAGTTCTAATTATTTACACTGAACGGACATCAAAAGCCAATGTGTAGCTATAAACTGCTTAAATAATCTGAATTGCCAATTACATTTAAAAAAGGCCTCAGCATTTAGGTTCTTTATTGACATCAACAGTTCCATGAAGAACCTTTTACATTTAAAAAATTGACATTACCATTGATATTACTAGTTATCATTGGGATTGACATCCCGTGGTAACTAGAATTTACACAAGCTTCAGTCTGGATCCAGAACACCTGAGAAGAGATGATGCAACCCCTCAGAGGACCTCAGATGATGCCAACCCTGAAACAACATACAGAACTACCACATTTTGCTATAAGTTTTATTGCATCATATAATAATTGCTGTTAATTGTGTTATTTGTCTGTTTTATTACGTCTTAAATTGATTTTTCCGTACATTTCTGCCATATGTACATTAATTGACAGTCACCACTGATAAGCTGCCTCTAAATATTGTAGAAACTTAATTTGCTGTAAAGTTGCGTTGCAGTGATTTGTATCGTGAAAAGCGCTGTACAAATAAACTTGACTTGACATCCATGGAACCTTTCCATTCCACAAAAGTTTTTTTTTTTTTTTTTTTTTTTACAGTGAAAAGAGGTTCTTTAGATTTTTAAGAAGTTCTTCACACTAAAAAATGTTTTTTAATGACTGTTCACTGAAAGGTTCATTGGGGAAACCAAAAATGGTTCTTCTGTGGCATCGCTGTAAAAACACCCTTTTGGAACCTTTATTTTTAAGAGTGTATATTCTTTTCTTTTCTCTTTAGCCCTGTCTGCCATGTTTGAGACACACTCCCAGCCATCCATAGATGTTGATAATCAGGAGACGCCAATGTCAACCCCGGTCCAGAACCAACCAGCTGCACAGTCTCTCTGGTGTGAGTATACTTCACTTTATCATGAAACCACTTTACCACTCACTGGCCACTTTATTAGGTACACCTTGCTTGGACCTTCTTTTGCCTTGAGAACTGCCTAAATTTTTCATGGCATAGATTCAACAAGGTGCTGGAAACATTCCATTTGTGTGTAGTGAATAGTCATGTTCAGTTTGACACAATTTGAGCTTTGTGACAGCACGTCTGCTGGAAGTAGCTATAACAAGAAAGGTACACTGTGGTCATAAAGGGATGGACATGGTCAGTAGAAATACTCCGGTAAACCCTAGAGATGGTTGTGTGTGTATGAAAATCCCAGTAGATCAGCAGATTGTGAAATACTCAGACCATCCCGTCTGGCACCAACAACCATGCTACATTCAAAGTCACTTAAATTACCTTTCTTCCCTTTTCTGATGCTCGGTTCAGCAGATCATCTTGACCATGTCTACATGCTTAAATGCATTGAGTTGCTGCCATGAGATTATCTGATTACATATTTGTATTAACAAGCGGTTGAATGGGTTTACCTAATAAAGTGGTTGGTGGTGAGTGTATATTGACATGCCATGGTATTGTCATCTTATAACTGTCATAGTACCTCCACAGTCCTTTTTCAGTAGGATAATACACTTTGAGGGCACTTTAAATGGTCATTCTTATTGGAAGAGACATGAAACCTCATATTTGGTGCAAGAAGTAGTCAAGTTGTCAGATTTATTCTGGTTTTTAGCTCTGCCATTTAAATGATTACTGTTGGCTTTTAATGCAGCACAGTTTCCCCTGGGAGTTTAATGATTTATGTTCAGTCTGTGGCTTTAGGAGCAGCTTTCAGTAAAACTCTAGGTTGTGTTAGTCACTGTGTTGTCTGCCTCTTTGTAACCCATTTACTATAATATTGTTTGTGAAAGTGGGGCCAGGAACATGCTGGAAGACAAAAGTAACTTTCAGATTAATAGTGTAATTGTTCTGTTTTTGGTTATGTAACATTAGTTCTATGAGGCTCTTTATGTAGGACAATACAGCAGGATATGGGTTATATAAATGATGATTTATGAAATAAATACTAAGAATCTGCCAACAGGTTCTAGTTTGGCTGACTTTATATTATGTGTTTTAAAGATTAATTTTGAGTGCTGTGATTGATCACTGTGACACAAGCAGTACCAATTGGAATTGCGATGAACTCTGCCTGCCATTTGTTTATTTAGATAGCGAAGCCCTACCCCAAAATCAACTATTGGTTGAACCGGTGTTGCTGTGTTCAAAAATGTGTTCTTTTTTTAATCAATACTTTTTCAGCAAGGATGCATTACATTAAGTGACAGTAATGCCATTTATAATGTTACATAAAATGTCTATTTCAAATAAATGCTGTTCTTTTGAACTTTCTATTCATCAAAAATCCTGAAAAAAATGTATCACAGTTTCCACAAAAAATGAAGCCGCACAACTGTTTTCAGCACTGATAATAATAAAAAATGTTTATTGAGTACAAAGTGAGCATATTAGAATGATTTCTGAAGGATCATGTGACACTGAAGGCTAGAGGAATGAAGCTGAAAATTCAGCTTTGAAATTGCCACAATTTAAAATATATATAAATAAACTGTATTTTACTGTATTTTTGACCAAATAATTGCAGCCTTGGTGACCATAAAAGCAATAAAAAAAAAAAAATTTAATTACCGACCCCAAACTTTTGAAAAGTAGTGCAAAAATTTTTTCTTTTTAATTAAAATATTTTTTCAGTTACATGCCATTTTATTCCAAATAAATTAATGAATATGACATGGCTAAATTTAAAGGATATTTTTTGCCAAGACAAAGACTACAAAAAAAACCGGTGTGTTTGTGTGTGCAGACACCAGCAGCCCTCCCAGTACCGTATCCAGTGCCGGGCCTTCGTCTCCATCTGTAGCAGGGCCAGCATCATCCAACTTCAGATTCAACAGCGAGTAGACATCTTGGAAACATTTTTTGCTCTTATATCAGTTTTGCAGTATCTCTTCAAAGGATTGAGGTTAAGATTGATACGGTCCTAGTTATCTACTTGGAAGCTGCTAATATTGTACTATCTGCACTTCTGCCTGAACAATACAGAGCCTCTTTGGCTGAGATTCAGCTGGTAGTTTGATCTGTCAGCAAATACAGCTCTGAAACCAGTAATTAGCTCTTCCGCTGTACTTCTGAGCTCCGGTGGAGTTAGATACTAATTATGATCCCAGAATCAGTGGCAAAGAGACAGAGACATTACAGACAATAGTAATTTTTAAGAGTGTATATTCTTTTCTTTTCTCTTTAGCCCTGTCTGCCATGTTTGAGACACACTCCCAGCCATCCATAGATGTTGATAATCAGGAGACGCCAATGTCAACCCCGGTCCAGAACCAACCAGCTGCACAGTCTCTCTGGTGTGAGTATACTTCACTTTATCATGAAACCACTTTACCACTCACTGGCCACTTTATTAGGTACACCTTGCTTGGACCTTCTTTTGCCTTGAGAACTGCCTAAATTTTTCATGGCATAGATTCAACAAGGTGCTGGAAACATTCCATTTGTGTGTAGTGAATAGTCATGTTCAGTTTGACACAATTTGAGCTTTGTGACAGCACGTCTGCTGGAAGTAGCTATAACAAGAAAGGTACACTGTGGTCATAAAGGGATGGACATGGTCAGTAGAAATACTCCGGTAAACCCTAGAGATGGTTGTGTGTGTATGAAAATCCCAGTAGATCAGCAGATTGTGAAATACTCAGACCATCCCGTCTGGCACCAACAACCATGCTACATTCAAAGTCACTTAAATTACCTTTCTTCCCTTTTCTGATGCTCGGTTCAGCAGATCATCTTGACCATGTCTACATGCTTAAATGCATTGAGTTGCTGCCATGAGATTATCTGATTACATATTTGTATTAACAAGCGGTTGAATGGGTTTACCTAATAAAGTGGTTGGTGGTGAGTGTATATTGACATGCCATGGTATTGTCATCTTATAACTGTCATAGTACCTTTTTTCAGTAGGATAAGGCACTTTTGAGGGCACTTTAAATGGTCACTCTTACTGGACGAGACATGAAACCTCTTATTTGGTTGCAAAATTTAGTTGTCAGGTTTATTCTAGTTTTTAGCTCTGCCATTTAGATGATTACTGTTGGCTTTTAATGCTGCAGTTTCCCCTGAGAGTTTAGTGATTTATGTTCAGTCTGTGGCTTAAGGAGCAGCTTTCAGTAAGAATCTAGGTTGTGTTAGTCACTGCGTTGTCTGCCTCTTTGTAACCCATTTACTATAATATTGTTTGTGAAAGTGGGGCCAGGAACATGCTGGAAGACAAAAGTAACTTTCAGATTAATAGTGTAATTGTTCTGTTTTTGGTTATGTAACATTAGTTCTATGAGGCTCTTTATGTAGGACAATACAGCAGGATATGGGTTATATAAATGATGATTTATGAAATAAATACTAAGAATCTGCCAACAGGTTCTAGTTTGGCTGACTTTATATTATGTGTTTTAAAGATTAATTTTGAGTGCTGTGATTGATCACTGTGACACAAGCAGTACCAATTGGAATTGCGATGAACTCTGCCTGCCATTTGTTTATTTAGATAGCGAAGCCCTACCCCAAAATCAACTATTGGTTGAACCGGTGTTGCTGTGTTCAAAAATGTGTTCTTTTTTTAATCAATACTTTTTCAGCAAGGATGCATTACATTAAGTGACAGTAATGCCATTTATAATGTTACATAAAATGTCTATTTCAAATAAATGCTGTTCTTTTGAACTTTCTATTCATCAAAAATCCTGAAAAAAATGTATCACAGTTTCCACAAAAAATGAAGCCGCACAACTGTTTTCAGCACTGATAATAATAAAAAATGTTTATTGAGTACAAAGTGAGCATATTAGAATGATTTCTGAAGGATCATGTGACACTGAAGGCTAGAGGAATGAAGCTGAAAATTCAGCTTTGAAATTGCCACAATTTAAAATATATATAAATAAACTGTATTTTACTGTATTTTTGACCAAATAATTGCAGCCTTGGTGACCATAAAAGCAATAAAAAAAAAAAAAATTTAATTACCGACCCCAAACTTTTGAAAAGTAGTGCAAAAATTTTTTCTTTTTAATTAAAATATTTTTTCAGTTACATGCCATTTTATTCCAAATAAATTAATGAATATGACATGGCTAAATTTAAAGGATATTTTTTGCCAAGACAAAGACTACAAAAAAAACGGTGTGTTTGTGTGTGCAGACACCAGCAGCCCTCCCAGTACCGTATCCAGTGCCGGGCCTTCGTCTCCATCTGTAGCAGGGCCAGCATCATCCAACTTCAGATTCAACAGCGAGTAGACATCTTGGAAACATTTTTTGCTCTTATATCAGTTTTGCAGTATCTCTTCAAAGGATTGAGGTTAAGATTGATACGGTCCTAGTTATCTACTTGGAAGCTGCTAATATTGTACTATCTGCACTTCTGCCTGAACAATACAGAGCCTCTTTGGCTGAGATTCAGCTGGTAGTTTGATCTGTCAGCAAATACAGCTCTGAAACCAGTAATTAGCTCTTCCGCTGTACTTCTGAGCTCCGGTGGAGTTAGATACTAATTATGATCCCAGAATCAGTGGCAAAGAGACAGAGACATTACAGACAATAGTAATTATCTGTGCATCTTCTTTTGTCACCCTACAGCGTAATGCAACTCAAATGAGCACATAGACCAATAAGTCCACAAAAAATATATTTAATCATTCAGATCAAGTTGCGTAATTTTAATTTTACCACTATTTTTTTTTCAGTTTGTGCATATTTGTATTATTTTATGATTAATTTTTTTTTTAGATGTTTGATTTTTTTGATCACGATTTGTTTTTAGATTTAAATGAAAATTGCTGTATTTTTATTATATGAAACGCAAAAGGTATTGTTTGAGAATGATTAAAGGGATAGTTCACCTAAACATGAAAATTCTGTCATTTACTCAGCCTCATGTCGTTCCGAACCTGTATGAATTATTTCTTCTGTTGAACACAAAAGAAGATATTTTGAAGAATGTGGGTAACCAAACAGTTGACGGTAGCCATTGGCTTACATAGTATTTTTTATTTTCCAAACTATGGAAGTGAATGTCTACTGTCAAATATTTGGTTACCCACATTCTTCAAAATACCTTATTTTGTGCTAAACGGAAGAAATTCGTACAGAGTTTGAAGGTGAGTAAATGATGACAGTATTTTTATTTTTTGGGTGACCTGTCACTTAAAATGAGCTGCAATAGACCTTTCAAGAATGTTCAGCTGTTTGCAATCTGCTGTTGTGTTTACTCTGTAAGTATATTTAATATTAGAGACTTAGATTACTTAATAAAATTGCTTTAAAAGTGTCTTTGTAATATTTTTTATGAATGAAAGGCACACCTTCAAAGTATACCAAATCACTGTGACTTATACCTGGTGCGATTTGTTGTTCTCTCCGACCTAATTGAGGTTTTGAAATTCAATCTGTGGTGTGAGTCTCAAAGAGTGATGCAAAACAATAATGATGACTCATGCTTTGCCCTCAGCTGTGCTGCTGTGTTGCTATAGTGACGGATTCTCAACCTTATTGACTTCAACTGAATGAGTGACTGGTGTGTGAAGACAGCTAGTCATCACAGGCAGCCTGCGTCCTAAAGATGAAGTCATACTGTCAAGAGGCGTACCTACATGAAGTGGGGGCCCCTGGCAAAATTAATCAGTGAGGCCCTTCTAAAAGATTTTTTTTTGTTCGTTAATGTATCTTTGTTACCTAGTGATATAATTATACAACATATGAAATGTGGACAAAACACATCTAATAATGCACAAAACAAGACGCGCGCTCTCTCTCACTCGGATGTGCACACTCAAACCTGTGCACTCAAATCTATAGAATTGCCTTCTCTCCTGGATTTAATGTTGCCAGAAGCCCATCAACCACCAGAATTCCATGACTGACTGATGAAATAACAGAGTACCTTTCAATTGTAAAAAAAATTACGGATCTTTGTTAGCATTTCCAGGCTGATTTTGGTCAGTGAATTCTCATTATTTATTTTATTACTTAGCCTAATAGCTATTTGAATTAAGTGCCTATTCTGAATAGGTATTTATTGAATTATTTTATGTACTGTATATCAGCAAGTGAACGAGTTGCGGCGAAGCTCATGAAAATATTTTTTTGTTTTGTTTAGTAGTGTAGGCTATTTGCAGTCTGTGCGTTTCTCTTCGCGAGACACGAATATCTTTTGTGTAGCCTAATGAACTCAAGCATAATATCGAATGGAGAAAAAAATATTTATAATTTCTAATGAATTAGGCTATAAAAAATGGGAATGTTAAAATATTTAAAGGGGTGGTTGATTGCGATTTCACTTTTTTAACGGTGTGTAATGTTGCTGTTTGAGCATAAACAATATCTGAAAAGTTACGAAGCTGAAAGTTCAATGCAACCAGATATCGTCTTTTAAAATTCTGGCAGTTTAATGCTTACAAAACGGCTGACATCACAAACTTAGATAAACCCCGCCCTCGGGAAAAGGCAGCAAAAGGGGTGAGGCCATGCTGCACTGCTTTAAAGAAGAGGAAGAGAAAACTAGAGGTGCACGTAAAAATCTATTCATATATGAATCGCGATTCTGTCTTCTAACGATTCTAATCTTCATAAAAACGGGAAGAGATCAGCCCGTTTCTCAGAGAAGGGACAGAGCGGTGTAGCGAATCAGCTCATGGGGAAATATGAATAATTAAC